TGTGCGTCTTCTGCCTTGAAGCCGCCGACAATGAAAGCGGGCAGAGAGAAACCCGTCTTTTCTGCCACGGCTGCGCGCCAGTCGAACAGGCTGAAGACTCACCAGATAACATCTAGCAAGCACCTGCCGTCTTCATCATCCATGTCAACTGGAAAGCAAGAGCACAGGTTAAGGATGTCAGTGAGAGGGAAGCCAGCCAGGACGCGTCAGGAGTCAGCTTCAACATCTGCCTGCTTATTCTCCAGCACTCATCCATCCATCAATCCATCCATCCATCAAGGGTTGCTGTCACTACATATCAAATTTAAATTGTTATTCGCAATCGACCCATGTCATTCTGCTGAATGGCAACAAAAACATTTAAAAGCCACAATTAGTCACAGACTGAAAATGAAAGAAGTGCTTTTTAAAATGCACGTGGTGATGTCACTGGGTTATCAAATGATGACATCACAAAGCAAAGAGGGGAGACTGCGAACTGTGACTATGATTACAGTCCTCAGCACACACCTGAAGCCCAGCTCCCCGCTAACAATGGCCCTGTCGTTCATAATTGAAGCCCTGCGCTCCCTGGACACATGGAGGTGCCCGTCCTCAGACAGCAACAACACACAGCATGTTCACAGCACAAGTACGTCACAAATCATACTGGAAGTTCTGCAGGGGAAAATGTACACACCTTTGTCGTGGACAAGAAAAAGGTAATTTCTCTCAGCATTTTCTGAAAACAACATAAAAGATTTTAACACACACACACAAAAAAAAGGCTTTTTCATGTAGTCATTTTAGAATCGAAAGCAGCACTCATAACTCCAGGATGTCTACACTATTCTGTTTTTTAAGCTCAGTCTACAGTTTTAGGGTCATTTAACACTTACATAGTTTCTGAAACTAATGAATACATAACCTCCACTATCCCACACATTTCAAACAATGAAAATAGATGTGTAATATAGGCACACAACACAAAAGTGGGGGGTTTTCTGCACATCATACATACCTCGGTGTTTAAGCTCAGAGCAGAGGAATATTGGTTTATCGTATGCTATGAGAACCAAAGCACAACTGCTGTTACTGTACAAGTAGATCCCTGCTAGGAGGGCCGCTGCAGAGCTGGGTCCATCATGGCTGGGACAGAGACACCATCCTTTTGGTCTTGCCATGAACAACAACATTAGTAACTGTGACTGGCAGAACACAGAGCCACAGCAAAGCCATCTGGGTCTACTTACTAGCACTGTGTAAATATTAAATTATTTTTTCCTTTAGTTTTTATACGTTTTTTTGATGGTGTCATACGACAAAGGGCAATCATCCCGAGATAGCATTACTGACCTGAGAAAGGCAAAACTGAAACTGTGACAGCTATCTCCAATAACTTATGTTACCATTTCCGAGCGAAAAAGTCACTTATCTCAAAAGAAATGAAGGACTCGCACTTCTCTCTAAAGGGCACTACGTGAATGAGATTTACGAAGACACACTGTCATTCGTCAAATGCGCGCCTGATTCGTCAAGCATATTAAAAATTTACAGTCCGTTTGCCGTTGTATTTTGTTACAAATAGGGCTATTGAGAGGGCGAAAGTGCGTCACGATTCATAGTTTTTCGACTGCTCTGAATCAAGAGTTAAATGGAGATAGCACAGATATAAGAAGCATCACCTCCAGTGCAGAAGCAATTTGTTGAGGAAATAGGACTGTAAACCATTCTGTGTTTACACAATACACACCTCTGTGTAAACACGTGAATCTATTACGCACATAGAAACAGGGAAATAAATAATTATAACAGGAAACTGAAATTTCAGGCGAGGTTCCAATGGCTCGGATAGTTTCGGAACATAATGTTTTAAATAAAAACGCGCCATTTCCTGGGGCGTATAGCTGAAATTGTAGTTTCAGGCACTGCGCACGGAGGTCAGATGATTTTAAAACGGGCGCCTTGGTTTCTTTTGGAACTGTTCCCTCTTAATTCATCGGGAACTCTCACTGCCAGAGGGTGGGGTGATATCAAAAGGAGTTTGCGGAAAACTTTCCAGTAAAGTGCTTTGGCACAGAGCGGAGAGGAGGCAAGCGGGCTTGCGCTAAATGCAAACAGAATTACGCCGGAGCTGGTCCAGGGACACCATCCCAGTAAGAAAATTAAAAACACGGCGCATGGTGTGAGATCAAGGGACGCCGGACACCGACGGACGGGTAAAGGCGAAAGGCTACGGCAGCCTGTGCGCCACAGCCTGCTAGTTCACGTCCGAAAGTTTCCCTCCCATCACTCCGTAAAATGACAACCATCAGCTTGTTTACTTCCCATCAATTATACCAAAGTGATTCGGTGAGGAAAATCGGATGTGATCCCTAGCAACCAGCTAGCCTTGGCTGTATAAATGCATATCTAAAACGCAGTATTTACGTGTATATATATCTGCGGTATATATGCATACAGCTTGTACGGGTAATCATTAGCAGACATTTAAGAGTTAGATAAATGCTGGTCCTTTCCCCTCTGTATCACGCACTCATAGTTGGCCAGCTGCGGAACATTTCTACATTTCGACCCCGTCAAGCGCAGTTGCGTAGCCGTATCCCAGCTAAATGTGACTTAATGTTGGAATTCTCTTGGAGCGGGGGGGAGGTATGCTTGGGAATTCGTTGTGAGATGAACCGCTCGGGCCAGTCGTGCGGGATCGCGCCGCCCGGAAGCGGGCAGAGGCGAGCCCTGCGCTCCGCTTGCGGTGCGCGAACGTTGCAGCTTTATTACAGTTATACACATTTATAGAGAAAATGCTACATTGTAACAAACTCACCCGAGACGATAGAGGTGCAGGCAGCGCGGGGTTTCCAGAACAGCCCCGCACGGGCTCCCGTACAGGACCCAACAGAGCGCCGCTCGCGTAGGGACAGGAGGTCCACGGCATTCGCCTGTTTCATAATACTTTGTGCGGAGATGTCTTTTGTTTTGATGACGATAAACTGGATGGGAGCGTTGTCATTACAGGATTTTTGTTAGTGAGTCACCTGTGATTTTGTAATAAACGATTTGCTAATGTTACTAATGTGTACAACTGAATATTTCTCTGGACCCACTCTTGACTAGAATTATAGTCAGATTGATGTCTCTTTAGTCTGTGCCTCCCAGTGTGTCTCTGTCCCCATGTAACGTAGTGCCAGAGTAGTCCTCTAGCACACCGTACATTGGTTAAGCTCTTTTGGGGTGCCCACTTTTGGGTAGTATTTTTTCAGTATATTTGCTTAGGGGATACTTTAAACACAGTGACATACTTGAACATATGGGTGAAAACAATACTATTTTAGTTGACACCTGTGGTGACATAGACTGTGTGGAAAGCAGGGACACTACAGTAGTCCCATAACATACGGTACACCACCGCATCTACAGCCCTGGTCTCATCTTCATTCTACTCACCGTGTACACATTCTCACATCTTCACAACAAAAAAGAGGTCTTCATATCAAATGAGGGGGGTAGGGGGTGGCAAGTTAATGGTGTTCTTCCCAGCTCTCCGTGTTCATTTTCTTCCTTTCCATAACTGAGAAAGGAATACCTATGCCTCTTAATTTTGCCACTCAATTTCAACAACTGTGTAGGAACGAGCAGCTACCTTTGGGACCCAATGAAATTAAATGATCCTTTACTTTCCATTTGCAAAAGTAGGAGTACAGGTGCATAAGAATGTTTCTATTTGCATGTCCCATCTTGGTGTATGTGTCTCTCCTTTGAGACACACACATACATTTATACACGGGATAGAGAAGCTTAGGGTTGGAGCATAGGATCAGGCCATTTATCCCCTGAAACATTTTTTTTTTTGGGGGGGTGGTGGCTCATACCTCAGAGTTTTGACCTCCAGAGGCCACATATAAATTAGCAAATGCAAGACTTCAGACAGCTTCTCCTGGTGAAGGTCATGGAAACGCATAACCACTACGGAAAAAATTGTATTTAAAAAGCAAAAGAATTTTCTCAAGAAATTTAATGACATTAGTCACCTTAAGAAACATTTTGTAATACTGTCACCTCAATTTATCAGGGTTCTGTTCAAAGTTAGCCCTGTTCTTTCAGTGGTTTCTTTAGTTTCCTCCAGAAGGTCAGGTGATTTTAACATGCTAGTGCATTGCATCCTGGGTGTTTTCTGTGCAGTTCAGTGCCTTTTTCAATAAGGGTCTGAACCAAATGAACCTTAATAGATTACTGAAATGGAATTTGTTTTTCCACAAAATCTACATCATACAAGGCTTAATAAA